GTTTTGGCAGTGGCGTTTCAAAGTTCTGTTCTATTGACATTTCTTTAACTGCACTGACCCGCTCTTTGTGAGTTTTGACAATTTGCAGTTTGTCCTTGAAGGATGAGATTTGCTTGTTAAAAAGAGTAAAACATTGAAAACAAACTTGTTGATCTCTTTTCCGTTTCAAATTCTTAAAGTTTATGAGGAAGCTTTCTCGGCTATGAGTTTTGTACTCTGCTCCGATGTTTTTTTGTTTATTTGGGATTGCAAATGCCTGCTTTGTTTTGTTTTAATGCTTTTGAATGAGTTTGGCGACACTTATCTGACTTTTTTGAGACCAGCGATTTCTTTCTCTTCTTTCTTAATAACAGATGTATTTTTTTGTTTTTTGTTTTTCTTCTATTTCCTCAAACAAAACTAATCAAATCCAAAGTTTTAGGGACAGATTTTTTTCCTTGCTAGTGTTTAAAAATCTCTATTTGTTTCAAAAAATTTTAATGAGAAACAAAATTTTTAAATAATGGAATTATGTTTCTTGATTGGACAAAAAAAGTTATACTGATTTACCGAAATACAAAAAAGATCATTTTATTACGGTTGTTTCCTCTACATTAAGGAATCAGTTGACTTTTGATTTAATAGATCGCCGCTTAATTTTTTTTCGTGAAGATTTTGTTAAAAATTTGTAACAGTACTTAAAAAAAAATTTAGGTTTTCAATTAACTTCAGTTTTTTTTTTCAAAAATCCAGTCAAACAAGACAATTTAGAACAAATCAATTTTGACTGCCCTAGCAAACACAAATCTCGGTCATTTTCGGTCCCTGAGGGTTGTTTGTAAATTTTCGTTGAAGTTGCACAATGTCCAAAGCTTGTTTTGCTACCGAAATTTTTGATAGATTGATTTCGTATCAACGTCGATTTTTGTCAAGATTTCATTGCCTGCTATGTGCCGCTCAATGTCATATCAGGCAGTTTGCATTTGGTTTTTCAAATTATTGATCAGCTTTAAGGGTAAGGCTCATGATATGAAGTTTTTTATTGAGCTACTAACTTAGCTATAAATAGACTGAGTGATAAATCTAAATATTATAGATGTATAATATTTAGATTTATCATCTATAAGCATGATAATATTTGTCTCAAAAGTAGATTTTTTATAAATGTTAGGCCACCTAGAAAGTTTTGCAATCGGGAATCCAAAGCTGTTTATAACAAAAAAAAAACAAGTTTCTCAAATAATTTTTTTTTAATTTTTGAAATACCGCGGTAAAGACCAAAGCTACAACACACGTTTCTGAAATTAATCAGTAATCATCTGTTAAAAAACTTGATATTCTATTCATTGCAAAATAATGAAAAGATGGTTGATCTGTTTTAATGTGATATGAGGGTTGATTTCATTGACGCAAAGTTTTTTTTTCCACGCCTAACTTTTTTGGAAATCATATCTGTGGAATTCAAAAAAAATGGTTTAACAGAAAACAAAACATTACCTTGGACAATTGTAGACAAAAGATTCATCCTCCGCGATTGTTTTTTTTTAAACTATAGTCGTAACAGGGAGTCATAAAAATCTTCTTATTGACGACGGTTGATTTAAAATAAAAATTTCGCTTTTAAGTTTAATTTTCGAAGAACTAAAAAATATATTCTGGGTTTTCTAAAAATGAAAGTTATTAGTTAAAAAAAACAGTTTTTGGAGTTAAATAAACAGATGAAAAAGAGATGAGTGAGATGAACAGAAGATTTTTTGATAGTGTTTCCCTGAACCATTTTGTGAAAATCAAGACGGTATCGCTGCAGGAAGGCAGACAGTGATACACTGTCTACCTTCCTGGGGTTTACTTTAACGGAGACAATTTTGCCACACGATACCTAAAGTCGAGATTAATATGAGAGGCGTTTAACCAATCATTTTGTTTAGCTGATTTGATCTAATTTTTGTGCAAATGGCGGCAATGTTGTCTCCGTTAAAGTAAGCCCAGGGAAGGCAGACAGGGTATCACTTGGACTTCGGTACCTTGAAAATTCAAATTCCTCGCGAATAGATTATTTCTTTGAAAAGGAGGAGTCACTTCTAATTCAATATTCTATACTGGTATTTTATCTCTGAAATGTTGGTGCAGTTGAAAAGAGTCCAAAAACTTAAAACCAGGGGGTTAAGTTTTGGTGATAGAGGGGCGGCATGTGTAAGAGACAAAGGGAAAACGTTGGGGCGGGAGGGGGTTCAAAAAGGGAATGGAATGGAACAGTTTGCGTTTCGAGAAAGTTTTGGTTGAAAATTCGAGTAGGTTTAGCAATGCAGAATTTCTGAATTACTAATTTGAAAAAGCTTGAAAAAAGACTGCTCGTACCAGGGCGAAGCCCTGAATGTTCCGACTACCTTTCAAAGTCTATGGAGCAGTTTTAACATGAAACAATTAAATATAACAAGACTGCTCGTATCAGGGCGAAGCCCTGAATGTTCCGGCTGCCTTTTAAGTTTTATGGAGCAGTAATAACAAAAAAATTAAATGTAATAAAATAAAATGAATTTTTTTTTTCTAAAACTTAAAAGTTTTTTTTTTAAAAAAAATCATCCATCCACACGTCATAATAAGTACTAAATGATAAATTTTGCTCCTATTAACAAATCAATTATGGCATAGAAGCTTCCTTGAACCAATTTGGAACGATTTCTAAGACAGATTAAATCTCGCTTACGGGTTAATAGCGCGAAATATATCGCGCGTTAATTGTCCCAAATTGGCCAAAATGGCAATCTTTAAACCCCCGTAACTTAACGAAAAATTATCACAGGTTTGAATTTCAAATTTAAGCTCAGGACAACAATACCTTTCGAATGATAAAAAAAACTCCGTTAAAAGTGCCTAGTTAAAAAGTCGATATTTGTCTGAAGAAAAAAACCCACCCTGAGCACAAATATTCCGTTATTTTTGTATCAAAAGTCGGAACAAAAAATCCGTTCTATATGATTTTGAATGGATTACAATTGATTATAATTTTTTCTACAAACAATGGATGAAAATCGATTATTTATTTTTTACTGTCTGAGGGCAGCACAGGAATCTATTATATTGTTAACATTTAACAAAAAAAATCGTATATTTTAGACGCGGTTATTGAAACTGTATTGCGCGTTAATTGTTCCACATTGGCCAACAAGCAATATATAAACACCCATAAATTTACTAAGGCTAATCACACATTAAATATAGGGCAACAATATTTTTCGAATGAAATAAAAACAAATTTGAAATTTTTATGGACTGCCCATATCGAATATAGCAATAACTCAAATTTGAGTCGAATTAATATGACCAAACATTTTGTTTCAATTTAATTTGGAATAATTATTAGCGCAGATAATAATTTGCGTATTGAAACTATCAAAAAATATTCAAGCAGCGATGCCATCCGCTATTTAGCCTGCAAGCATACTCGCTTATGGCAATTCATTGTTACACATCCCTTGGAACATTTTGCGTTTTCAGTTATCAAAAAGTTTTTTTAAATCAGCTTAGTGCCAGAAAAAATACCCGAGATTTGGGTATCCAATCAACCACTGTTTTAAGAGAGCCCTGATCTGCATCGATATTTTAATGAACACCACTGACGCCGGAGTCACTTTTCCAACAACATGTCTTTTGTATTCATATTACTCGCTAAAATATTGCAAAAAAATTGTTCAAATATCGACTAATTATGGATCGATCAGTAAAGCTAATGACTATTTCTCCGGTATTGAATTTGATTTTACCGATGCTTCAGTATTACCAGCAAAAAAGTCAAAGAGCAACAAAGAAAGAAGTAGTTTTGATCACTTTTACGTCAGATCTTTTCATTCTGCAATTCAAAGTCTTTACGTCAGCAAACTTGATAGTCTTCCCTAAAAGGAAAAGTCCTTGAAAAGCGTCCTTGAAATAAGCACAATCACATTTTTAATCACGAACTGACGGCGGCGGCCTTAAAACTCCTTTGTTGCTCCTTCGCACCCAAGCAACGAAAGACGCGGCGGTTTTCCGCCACCGGTTAGCAGCTTTGGTGGCCACCTATTGATCTATCAAAAATACTCCTCCAAATCCTACCACCAGGTAGAGAAATATTTGGAAATAGAGGGTAAATTCCAGTCATACAAGTGCGGTCGAAACTCAAGAAAGACGAACGTTTGCGTATTGGTATTGTTGATAACTATAGACATCTATCTTTCTTACATCTAAAACCTTAGATGGTTAGTCTCCTGAAATTAGCTCAAGTTTCACTCCAAAAGACAACTGTATCATCAAATATTGGGTTTCTTCTGTGATGAGTCTGAATAAATAAAAAAAGTTTTATCAAAACGAAAATTGCGCACGTTTTTGCTTACAAAGCAGATGGTGGGCTTCTTTTTTGTTTAGAAAAAAAAACTTTTTTTATAATGAAAATCGGCTTTTTTCATATCGTCTGCAATATTTTAAGTTCAGTGGGTTTGAAGAAGGTATTCCTTATTTGCACAGCCGAAGGGGGATTTTATTTCAAAGGCGGTGGTCTTCATGTTGGGGATCTTGTGATGGACCCCCTACTTAGACAGTTAATTATCAGCTAAAACTTCCCAGCTCTCTGTCTAGGGTAAATGACAACCTGCTTCGGAGAATGCGGAGCCAAAACAGGAGAATCACCAATGGCAATCCATGTAGTCATGTAGTAAACTTCGGCTCCCCTTATTCCTAAATCAGACCCCCTTTGAAGTCTAGTCGCGTTACTATAACTAGTACGTCACGCTTTCAAAGAAACTACCCGTTAAGGAATTTAACTGAATATGCATTTTTATCCCTGATAAATTTCCTTGCCGCTTCAAAATTTAATTTTCTTTGGAAGCACCGAAAGCGGTACTTTCATTCAATGTTTACTTTCTTTTCAAACTTTGAAGTGGGTATCACAATTTTCCGAAGTTCAGCCTGGTTTTAATTTTAATCTCAAGGGCAAACCCAAAGTCTGACGTGAAGAAATCTCTCTCAAAGCTGAAATCATTTATTATATATTTTGGCAGTAGACCAACACTAATTCTGAAATATAGAATAGTGAAAATAGATTTTCAGATTTATCACTTTTCAGTTTGAATTCATCATCGACAGTTGTCTGAAAGACTCCGTGAACAAAACTTGTAATTTGAAGTGAAAAGAATCGATAAAAGATTCAACTTTTTGACGCAATTAAAGCTTTTGAGTTGAACAAAATTCTTAAGTTTGTCTAAGATTGATTTGACCAAATCTAACTTTTAACCCCTTTATTTGCACAGTAAAAGTAACATCGACCGCGCGATCTCAGAAGTTTGCAGTTTGCTTAAATTGACTCCTTAGCTTTGGCAAAATATTTGCTCTTTCGCTTACAAAATATCATTCAGAAACAGTGAACTTTCTGAAACAGGACCCAATTGAAAATAATATCAATTTAAAGAGTCATCATAGCTGACCTTTGCTTGTGCATCGAACCCAAAACTTCCAAAATTGAACATTTTGGTTTAAATTCCCTTGACTCGAATTGAGTTATTTGACTACAAATTTGACTTTCTCCGAGAAAAATTATCTCAAACTTTGCTTCGAAAATGAGCGGCGACGATAACTACAACGTGGGCGGTGATTCGAAAATGTCCTCGTTCGCGCTGACTTACGAACTTCTGACAAGTGCCGAGATCCCCTCGGTCGACAAACCGAACTTGTTGGCAAAATCTCAATCTTGTTCCGTGAATTCTCAATCTCCTCACAATCGAACATCAATTTCGAGTGACGAAAATAGACAAACAGGACTCGTTTCGAACCCGAAATGTGTCGTGGATTCTGTGACATGGGTGGTTCACTTGAGCATAACAGAGCTCCAGTTTTTTGAATGCAACAATACGACTAAGGAATGGATGTCCATTTCACGAGTGGCGGGGGGACCTATCGCCTTCAAGTACCAGCTGTCAAACCTTCTATACTACAAACTTATCGGTTCGGATCTTCAGTTACAGTTCGTGACACCCGAATCGGGACACAAATACAGACTCGCGAAGACAATTCGCATCTCGGGTTTCGCATCGGACCAACATTTGTACCAGTGGGTTCAACAATTGGACTATATCGGAATGGTCCGCAGACGACCGAAACACCTGGAGTTTATCGTGAACCCAGTTTCGGGTAAAAAAGACTCGAGGAAATATTTCTCCAAAACAGTCGAACCTCTTTTGAAGTCGATGGGAATCAGCTATGTAAAGCACGAAACAGAGCGAAAAGGGCACGCCACAGAAATCTGTCAGAATCTCAACTTGGCGAGCATAGATGGAATAATTGTGTTGGGCGGCGACGGAACGGCTAATGAAGTGACTTACGGGTTGACTGATTTTTCGGCTAAGAGCGACAGGAACAGTCATGGTCTGAAAACAACCACACGAATTGGAATCATTCCGTGCGGAACTTCGAATAACTTGTCCTACGCAGTCCACGGCGGCGCAGATCGGCTAACTGCTCTTCTGTTCGCACTACTCGGTCACAGTGTGAACGTTGATTTAATGACTGCACGAAAACCGGATTCAGACTCACTATTAGGCATCGCAATGACTATGATAGCCTACGGTTTTATAGCCGACTCAATCAAAGAGAGTGAGAAGTTAAGGAAACTTCCTGGAACTCTAGGATATTCAATCTCGTTCCTTAGAAGTATCCAGAAAATGAGAAAATATCCAGGCACTGTACATCTCTCCATGGCAGGTCCTGATGATATAACACCTCACAACTCGCCACCCTGCAAAGCGAATTGTCAACACTGCCGAAGTTCTCCGGAACAAGATCCGGAAAGTAGCACTCAAATCACGCTCCAAGAGTCCAAGATTTTCGGCTTACAGATACATAATCATCCTGGAATCTGTGAACTAGCTCCTAGGGGCGCTACTTTGAATGCCCACTTGGGCGACGGATGTATGGACGTTTTATTGACTCGAGATCTGAAGCAGAAAGAAGCTATAGCAATGTTGAAAGAAGTGGGAAAGAAAGACGGACAAAACTTACCTTTCGATTTCGTGGAAGCAAGACGTGTTAATAGAGTTATCTTCAAAGCAGACGAGAGCAACCAAAGTTGCTGGATTTTGGACGGTGAAGTAATTGAGACTCCTGACATAGTGATAAGCATTCACAAACAAGCAGTACCTTTCTTTGGACGTGGCGTTGAACCCGAACTATCAACACTAAAAATCGGATGCATGAAAAGCTTTTGCAGTTGCTCTTAAACTCAAGCCCGAGTTCTTATAAAACTACCATAACTTCATCCGCTGTGTAGTGCTATAAAATAAATTGTTTCAAATGTTGAATTCGAAGCATATGCTGTGTTTTGATACCTTGAATTTAGTTGTTTTAAATCAAAGAGAGCTTTATGAATTTATATTTTTGTTATTAAGCAACTTTTTTGCATAATCCGAAGGAGGAACAGGTGAAGAGCGAGCGCAATGGTGACCATCAAATTAATCAGGCTATTCAAAGTGTGCTAGATCGTGCATTTATGATTTCTATCACAGTTTTGAGACTAGCGTTATCACTCACAGATGAGTAACGTCGCTTTTTTCAAGAATTCTCCACGATTGTATTAACCAGGAGAGTATTGCCCTTCATTTAGTATTATTTTATCGGACTTATTTTGGCCAAACAACTTTTTGGCCAAAAAAAGGTTTTAAGATTTTTTATCAATATTTGAGCCTTAGTAGAGAGGCACGCATTGTTTTTCTGGATAAAACTATTAAATTTTTATAAAATCTTCAGGCCCCTGAATTAATCAGATTCCCATGCTTAAGATAATACAGACGAGCAGTTTCTTGTTTATCGTCGACCTCGACGCCATGATTGGTTATCCCTGAATTGGCCTAAAAGCAGTGATAATCAGACTCTTTTTCACAACGAGAAGTTAATTTGTTGCAGCCCAAACCGCGAGTGAAAATGCTTCAATATGATCAATCATTCGACCGCTTGAGACGTTTTTTGAGGTATTTGATTTCACTGGAAAAAATTATACTCTTTTAGCAAGAAGAAGAATTTACAAGCTTAACTGGTACTAGCTTTGTGTAATGCAGAAGAACTGATTTTTTTTGTGTTGACGAACTTTGATTTTGTATAGGCTTTTATTCAGCTTTAATCCAGTTGATACAAAAGCTCATTCCGGTTCAACCAAACTTTGCTACCTAACGTTTTTTATACCAAAATTTTAGAAAATTCAGAGCTAGACATGTTACAGTAGAAAAAAAATCCGCGAGAAAACAAATTGTTAGACAAATTGTAATGAAACTCCTGCAATGATGGTAAGAATTCAAAAAAAATTGCGGGACGCATAGTTTTAAAACGCTCTAAATTTTAGCAGAAAATTTTTTTTCAATTCATGACTCAAAAAGAATGAATCACAATAGAACAATTAATTTGTAACGTGGAGAGGAACTTCACAACATTTTCTATGAGATTCTACGAGAAGAAAAAAATTAGCAACCAAAACTATCGAAAAAAATTCCAAAAAAGCCAAAAAAAGTTTGAGTACCAGAAACCGCAGAATCCTTAGTACATTTTTAATCCTCAGGCTTATATGTTTACCTACAAGATAGGTGATAACTAGTGCATCATCAATGCTTAGTAGGATACTTGTTGATTGTTTTTTAATATAATTTGTTTCCACTAGATATCCATTTATATCCTTATGGAAAACAACAGTAAACGACTTCTTCCAGATTTTTGATATCAAATTGGGAGCTGAATAGCAGATTTTCAATTTTTCGTTAATCTTTCAGCTATCAAAACAACGTCAAGTTTTGAAAACGTTACTTGAAAGACCTACAAATTTCCAGAAAGCAGAATTGTAAAAATTGATTGACGATCAGAGATTTTGTTAACCATTCCCCTTGATTGCTTAACTGTTCGATTCTTCCGTTTGAGACGAAATTTTCTTTACAAGTACCATAAAGATGAAGTAGTTAACGAAATCCGAAGATAAATAATTGACTATTTTCAACAAACTTTTTTACTCAAATATTTTTTGTTAGTTCAAACATTTCCATTCCAAAATTATTAACTCCTTTTAAAAATTCTTTTTTGGCTTCAAAAACAAAATCATTGAGCCTCCTCACTAACAATGATACTCGAGCAAAATAGTTTGAAATTAACTTGTGTGGTATTTTCTGGCCACGAGACAAATAAGTTGCAGCTTTCCATTTAACTGAACAAATGCAGGAGTGGTTTACCCGCTAAAAACCTCTGGAAAACAAATTTGAATAATATCGTGAGATTGATAAAAAATTTTATGATTATATGCTTCAAAACGTGAAAGTCGTTCATTGCAACGCCATGAGTCAAGAGAAAAAAAACTCGTTACTCAGAATGAGATTTTCTCAAAAACAGCCCAAACCTTTTCATTTGTTTCAACTTCGGCCAAATCATCATGATTAATTATTAGGGAACATATTAAACAAGACTGCGTGAAGCCCTGCAAATTTCCGACTGCCTTTTAAGGTCTATGAAGCAGTAATAACATGAAACAATTAAATGTAACAAGACCGCTCGTTTCAGGGCAAAGCCCTGAATGTTCCTACTACCTTTTAAGGTCTACGGAGCAGTTATAACATGAAAAAATTTAATGTAACAAGATCGCTCGTATCCATGCAAAGCACTGAATGTTCCGACTGTATTTTAAGGACTACGGAGCAGTAATAACGTGAAACAATTAAATTAAACAAAACCACTCGCACCAGGTTGAAGCCCCGATTGTTCTGACTGTCTTTTGATAATCAGACTCCTTTTCACGAAGAGAAGTAATTTTGTTGCAGCTCAAACCGCGATTGAAAGTGCTTCAATATGATCAAACATTCGACCGCCCGAAACGTTTTTTGAGGTATTTGATTTCACTGGAAAAAACTCGACTTTTTATGAGGAAGGAGAATTTACAAGCTTAACTGATACTAGCTTTGTGTAATGCAGAAGAACTGATTTTTTTTGTGTTGAAAAACTTTGATTTTGTAAAGGCTTTTATTCAGCTTTAATCCATTTGATACAAAAGCTCAATCCAGTTCGACCGAACTTTGCTACCTAACGTTTTTTATACAAAATTTTAGAAAATTCGGAGCTCGACATGTTACAGTAAAAAAAATCCGCGAGAAAACAAATTGTAAGACAAAATTTATTCCTTCAATTTTTTTTTTTGGAATTTTTGTTAACACTTGTTTTTTTTTGGGCAGTTAAAATGCGCTCCGGTGTCGCATAATTCTATGTCAGTTAACTATTGGCAGTTTTCAATCAAATTATGCCAGGGAACTATAGGCAGTTTTCGATCAGTAGTTGCCCAAATCAAGTCTTTTTGCACTGTACAAAAAAAAAATTTCAATGGTATGTTTAACTAAGTGTGGTGGAGGAAAATATAACAAAATTTTAGTTCAAAATGCATCTATGAAAATCAAATTATAATCTGCAAGAAGATGGAAACTGAAAAAAAATTGAAAACTCCAAAAAAATGTTTTGGTGTCTATAATTACCATTTAAAAACTAAATACAAATTTTTCGTTATTAAAAAGTAGTAGCAATCACGGAACAAAATTTTTGAAAAAAATGCAAGAAAGGACGTTTTCTTTCACATGATGTCTAAAGCAGAAGAAGCAACAGCAGCGATCAAAGAAGTTGGAAGAAAGAAAAACCAAATTTAATTATCGCTTTTTTGGACAAAATGTGTCAATCGATTTTCACAGCAGATGAAAACAACCAAATTTGATCAATTTAGGTTGAGGACACTTATCTTATTTTATTATGACTGTCAAATACGCCTAATCTCTAGTTTATTTTTATTCTTATTTTATCAGACAACCCCAAAAAATGACATTTGAAAAACTTTTCAGTTGTGTTTTTTTTAAGACTATCCTTGCTTAGAGTAAATTTTCTTATTGTGATCTCTAGTCGGTCGCGTTGCTTTATTCGCTCAAAATTGTGCTTAAAATCAAAAATTTTAAAGCATGCCTTTTGATAGAGGTAGAAATGTATGAACATTTTGAATGTTCGAATCACGACTGAAAAGGCCTCAATTTAGTTTATCACTCATCCATTTAGATGGTTATTTATGTTAGCTGGAATTTGCGTAGTGTTTATGGAATTTGCGTGGAAAAAAAAAGAAAAAAACTAAAACACACCCGAATCTAAAACTCCGGCCCACTTTCATTGGTCGGAACAATAAAATTTGGAAAAAGATCAATCAGGTGCGGATGTAGGCTTTTCTTGTGGGAGTGCGCATTTGAGAGATAGAGAAACAATACAAGATCTTACGTAAAATAGGTATTTATTAAATCCTCAGACTTCTGTTCAAACCGCAGAATCCTTAGTACATTTTTAATCCTCAGGCTTATATGTTTACCTACAAGATAGGTGATAACTAGTGCATCATCAATGCTTAGTAGGATACTTGTTGATTGTTTTTTAATATAATTTGTTTCCACTAGATATCCATTTATATCCTTATGGAAAACAACATTAAACGACTTCTTCCAGATTTTTGATATCAAATTGGGAGCTGAATAGCAGATTTTCAATTTTTCGTTAATCTTTCAGCTATCAAAACAACGTCAAGTTTTGAAAACTTTACTTGAAAGACCTACAAATTTCCAGAAAGCAGAATTGTAAAAATTGATTGACGATCAGAGATCTTGTTAACCATTCCCCTTGATTGCTTAACTGTTCGATTCTTCCGTTTGAGACGAAATTTTCTTTACAAGTACCATAAAGATGAAGTAGTTAACGAAATCCGAAGATAAATAATTGACTATTTTCAACAAACTTTTTTACTCAAATATTTTTTGTTAGTTCAAACATTTCCATTCCAAAATTATTAACTCCTTTTAAAAATTCTTTTTTGGCTTCAAAAACAAAATCATTGAGCCTCCTCACTAACAATGATACTCGAGCAAAATAGTTTGAAATTAACTTGTGTGGTATTTTCTGGCCACGAGACAAATAAGTTGCAGCTTTCCATTTAACTGAACAAATGCAGGAGTGGTTTACCCGCTAAAAACCTCTGGAAAACAAAATTGAATAATATCGTGAGATTGATAAAACACTTTATGAATATATGCTTCAAAACGTGAAAGTCTTTCATTGCAACGCCATGAGTCAAGAGAAAAAAAACTCGTTACTCAGAATGAGCTTTTCTCAAAAACAGCCGAAACCTTTTCATTTGTTTCAACTTCGTCCAAATCACCATGATTAATTATTAGGGAACATATTAAACAAGACTGCGTGAAGCCCTGCAAGTGTCCTATTGCTTTTTAAGGTCTATGAAGCAGTAATAAAATGAAACAATTAAATGTAATAAGACCGCTCGTTTCAGGGCAAAGCCCTGAATATTCCTACTTTTTTTAAAGGTCTACGGAGCAGTTATAACATGAAAAC